GGGAGGGAGGGCGCGGGCCCCGGGGCTGCGGACCGCTCACCTCCAGTCGCTCTCCGCGCTCCCCGAGGCGGGGGCTGGGCCGCAGCCTGGCACCTTCTTCAACACCAGCACGTCGCGGTCCTGCTCTTTCACCTGAATGGTGCTCACTTCATCTTCCGGCTTTAGTTTCGGAAAGGGGGGGGAGGAGGACGGTGGAAAAAGGGGAGAGAAAATTTTAAAGGGAGGAAAAGAAAAACGATGTAGCTACATGTACCTCAAGTTACATTTTCTGGACTTGCTTTACACTCTGAATTTCTTTTTCTTTTTTTGTTTTAAGATTCCAAATAAATTCGACTAGAAGCCTGCTTAAGGAATTTACCTCTAATAGGACAGTATCCGGGTTCAATTTTTATGGAAACACAAAGCATTAGGGAGACCCAGAGTCCTTTAAAGGAAGACAACCACAGGGGATGGGGGCGGGGTTGGGGGTGTGGGGGGACTCAAAAGATTCATTTCAAAAACAGGACCAGAACCATTTCAATGCGAGAATTCAGAGTTCAAAGTTTCAGAGTGCACAAGTTATTCACCCAATGCGCGCCACATTAAGGCAATCTCTTAGGAAATGAAAATTGGGAGGCTCACCTAAACATGATAAAAACAATAAGAAAACGTGGTAAGCAGTTGTCCTCAGTACACACCCTCTTTATGTACATCACAGGCTTACTTTGAAAGGCAGGCCCCAAAGCCCACCCTGTCAGTTGTTCAGTCTGGTTGTCCTCCCCTCTCCCCATTTATCCCTCCCTCCTATTCAGGCCCCCCCACCCCCGCCCCCAGATTTGATGTGGCCTTCAAATTTATCCTGCATTTCTTTGGTCAGAATACAAGCCAAAATGGCTCTCTGCTTAGAATCCCATCTAGCTGAAATTCGGACGTCACGGGCCAGTGCGCTGCCTTCCTCGTCTCCTCCGTTCCTTCAGAGAAAAGGAGAGAAGGCTGAGCGATCATTCATTTCTGCCCACACAGCTCCCACAGCCCCAGGGAGCATGGCCGCGGACAGGACCCAGGTCCGAGGGGCGGGCGGGGAGGGGAAGGGAGGGGAGGGCGCGCTGCTGACCCAGCAGGGTGGACGCAGGCGGCTCTGAGTGATGAGAGCTCGGGCAGTCAGTGTGAAGCCCTCCCTGAGTGTGACAACACCCTGGGGCCAGGGCAGCCCAGGGGGGCAAGAATGAGAAATGCGCGACAGAAAAGCTAGCCCAGCGTTTGTCTTCCTGGTGATCTGCACCGAAGATGAAAGAAGAGTTGCTTGCAAAGAGGATGAGGTCTCTTCTTAGAAAGGGAAACATGCCGGCCTGCAGTTCCTCATAGTTTCTCCTAGCTGTGAGAGAAAGGGCCAAATCCAACCTAGGGAGACCCTGTCAGTAGGTGTAATTATAAGAGAAATGATAGTTTCCCCAATGGATTAAAAGCACCACAGTTTTGAAAAGGATCGTGAGAGTGGTCTGAAAGGCTGAATGCAATCCAGGTTGCTAAGGGGTACAGATAGATATTGCTGACATAGCCTATGCTCGATAGATATCTTCTTGAGGAAAAAAAATAGTAAGTTCAATGTCTACTGTTGTTAGCAGTTCCCATCAGGATGTCTATATATTTCATTCACTTTTCACAAGGATACAACCAAACCCCTTGCTGGTGAGTTGCTATGGGCTCATAGCCACCCTACTGGCCAGAGAACTGACCCAAAAGGTTCCCAAGGTTGCGATCTGGACCGAAGCAGCCTGCCACACCTTTCTCCTGCCGAGTGGACGGTGGGTGCGGACCACACACCTCATGGTTAACAGCTGTGCACAGAACCACGGTGGCACAAAAGCTGTTCCTTCACAAGGACCGGAAGGCACGGACCTTGCTATAATTGCCAAGAAATCCGGTGTCTCAGCTCCTGGTGTCCTGATTTCTAACGACAATGTAGCCACTTAGTTATTTAAGTTTTTCAGAATTTCTGAACAACAAAATCCTGTTCATTGTACACAGTGATATACTTTTATGAACATTCCGTTTTAGTCTCTTAGTGGCAAATAATTTTGCAATGTAAAATTGATGGACTGTATTACATTTCAGCAAGGTCAGACATGCAGCTACTGTGGCAATTAATGTTGGATATTCATTGCTAAACTCCCCGAGGACGGCAGTGTGACTCTGGTAACAGGAATACCAATGTGTAATTGCTATCTTTCATTTTTCCAAAGGTTCTTTTGTTATCCGCGGGGCTGGAGTGAAATTAGGTGGCCAGAGAGGCACATATTGACCCACTCCATCCTACCCCCTTAAAAAAAGGCAGAATGAGGGTCTGAGATACGGAGACAGAAATAATTCAGTGAACAGTAGATCTGAAAGGACAAAAATCTTTCCCTAGTCTCCTCTAATAGGAAGCCAATACTCATTTTATATGAGCCTGCTGTCACCCCGAAGTACATTTTACATTCTCTGTGCACGTGATATATGGCATTATTAACTTCCACGAACAACGCACATACATATGGATGGGAAAGGCCTCCCTAATGTCTGTGTAACTCACATGTATGACATGGCTGTGCAGAGTGGCCACACTCTGCTGGCCAGGGGAAGAGCTGAATCAGATTGATATACTGTCAATAGCATCTTATGTCAGAGTGATGCTTTCCATTTGGAAAACCTGTTAAAATATAAAGAAGGGGAAATGCAGAAAAATCAATGCACAAAGGGAGATGTAAGTTACCTAAAATTGCCATAAAAGGATAATAACCCCATGTATTGTATCTGGCTCTCCCAGAGGAAGGTTAAATCAATGCCTCCTGACTCACGTACCCCCTAACTAACTAATTATTCTTCCAGAAATAGAGCAGAAGTACAAGGTTCTGGGTATAAAATTGTTCTGCTGCTGCTTGCTTAGTTAAAAGTATGAAGAGTATCAAGGAAGGCATTAAAATTTAGTTTGTAATTTTTTACTCAACAAATATTGAGGCCCTCACTTGGGTACAGCGCTGTGCTGGGCACCAGATGACAAGCAAAAGTGAATGGAATGTGTATCCTGACGGTCACGGATGAGTCAATAGGCTCAGAGACAGCACACATATGAGTTGGTAAGCACTCTCACGGGAGACAGAGGTAAGAGGCAATACCAAGAGAGATTCTGCTGCGCTTGATAATCAAGATGACCACGGGTGGCTGAAAATATGGGGATGCCAACAATGGATCAGAAATGGCAGGGGGAGGACCAGGTTCTGGTGAGACTGGAGAAGCTGCATTCAGGTAGCCGATGGGTTAGCAGGCCATTGGAAATAAAAAATTTTTAAAGCTGGGTCTAAGGGAAAAGGTCAGGGATAGAGACAACTTTAGGAAGGATTCAAGTCTGGAGAGCAGATGAGATTGTTAAGGGAGAACAAGAGAAAGGGGATCATGATATGAAAGAAAAAGACAAAGAGGAGGAGACATACAGAGAGAGAGAGAGAGCGAGATTCATAGGGAACCTACTTAGAGGGATTATGAAGAAGCCAAGCAAGAAGAGCCAGGGAAAAAACCCCAAACCAGGAGAGAGTTTTCTGTCAGGAGGCCTAAGGAAAAAGGCTGCCTGGTGCAGTGAAGTGTATGCAGTCTAAGAAAAAGGGATGTCGGCAGGCACTTGTTCTGCCACGAAGTGTTGGCTACTCATTTGGGACATGCAGAAGACTCACTTTGGGTGCAGGCACACAGTTCAGTCTGGATGTGGGATGAATATCCCAAAGTCAGTCATTCGACAAAAGTGAGAGCGGCATTACGGCACTGTCGTCCTAATATTTAATTTGCTACTTGTTCATTATCTGTTCCCCCACTAGGCTGGAAATACCATAAGGGCAAGCCAAAAGTTTCCTACTCTGTGCTCCTAAGGCAGCGGTTCTCAACCTGTGGGTCACGACCCCTTTGGGGGTCAAACAACCCTTTCACAGGGGTTGCCTGATTCATAACAGTAGCAAAATTACAGTTATGAAGTAGCAACGAAAATAATTTTATGGTTGGGGGGAGGGGTCACCACAACATGAGGAACTGTATTAAAAGGTCGGAGCATTAGGATGGCTGAGAACCACTTTCCTAAGGGCTAGAAAGCCTAGCACAGGGTCACTATTCACTAGATGTGTGTTGAGTACTGAAAAGAAAGAGAACAGGTGATGACGAGGTGGAGTTAGGCCCAGGAATGGGCATGTAAGTGGGACCACAGCACGTTGTCAGTGAATATGGAGGATGTGGCCAAAGCCAAGGGAGACCATTTCTCAGAAACTTCAACTCTCTGAGGATTCCTTTACAGCGTCCCCACCCCCAGCCAGTCCTGGGGCTTTGGGGCTCGGCTCAAGGGGAGTCCCTCTGGGACATGGGGGCACAGTGAATGGTGGGACACTTTGCTGGGCATGCCGACACAGTAGGGGATGCTGGGCCCCTCTAGGGTTTCCCGTATAGGCTCCCATACATTTCTTCCCTTTTGCTTAAAAAAAAAAAAAGAATTTCCTTACAAAGAGAAGGAGGCTGTGTGAAGAGGCTGCATGTCTGAGGAGAGGCAGCAATGGAGAGTTGGGGAGCAGTGGGGGGTGTGCACGGGAGGAGGCAGCCAGGAGCCTATGAAGAAGTGTGGACAGGGTCAGGAACGCAAAGCGGTGGGGTAAGCCAGGCGCTCAAGGGAGAGACATGGGTGAAGATTTAGGTTTTTTTAAAAGAAAAGGAATGAGGAAGTTGAGAAGATAGATGATGTGCGTTAACCTCAATCTTCTTCATGGAGTAGAAATGGAGACCATTTTCTGGAAGGAG